AATAAATATATTTTTATTTTTGTGCCTGAGCGAAAACCCAAAAGAAACTAAAAAACTCATAAATAATGTTGACTGACTTGTCCTCATGCAAGGTATGGAGGAAAGAATGACAATCTTTTTCCAAAGCGTATCCGGTGAAAGATTTTCGTTGATTTTAAGACGTTTTCTAGGCATCGCATAAATAAAAAATGTGATCTTCCAACTACTTTTGCCGACAAAACTTTCTCTTACCCATGTGGCAGTGGCGTATCGGTTGACAGATTTTCTTTGACTTTAAGAGGTTTTCTAGGCATTACATAAATAAAAATGTAATCTTCCAACTACTTTTGCCGACAAAACTTTCTTTTACCCATGTGTATGGGGGGCCACAACCTGCTTTCTCTAATTTAACATTTTCGAAGAAACCCCTTTTTTGGCAGGGCAAATTAGCCCCTCTACTAGTAAAGTTGTGGCATATCAATCCTTCTACTTTTTTTGGCTGCAGCATACCCCCTCTAACCTATGCAAACAGCCTCTTTTCTAGCAGCTGACGTAATCAAACCGTTTCCTCCGTTAAGTTTAAAGTGTTAAATGTCAATTTTCATCCTTAGACTTCTAATTTTAAATAATTTTAATTCTTAAATTATTTTATATATTTTTTGATCCTCAATTTTAAAAAAATGCATATTTTTTCCCTTACATCAATTAAATCACATGTGGACGTTAACTCAATCTAAAAATGACATCTTTTTTTATGAAATGAAAATGACATCATATAATCAACTTACATCGCCAAAAAACAATTTTTCATGGTGTAAAAAAGATAATATAACAAATTAAGATAATTTTATTTTTAATTTTTTTTATCCAACCAATCATAATAAGACATATGACCTTATTTTTAATTAAAATCTCATTTTATAATTTTTTTATGCTTTTCCAGGAATGGGTCTCGAATCTAAGTCTTTGTCTTTAATTTTGATTATGGGTAATGTGTCTTTTGCAAAATCCAAACTATATATCGCATATGAGCACGAGTACCGTGAAGGGATATGTACGATGTGTATTGGATATCTTAATACATTACATTTTGTATTGCATACGTATTGAGAAGGGTTGATATGTTAATCATGGCTTAGTATATATGAACATGAATACTTCTTTTATTTAATTTAATAATAAATTTAATTTCATCTTTTAAAATTTTTAAATAATTAATTTTTTTATTTATTTAAAATTTATAATTTAAATATATCTACTTATTTAATAATATATAAAAATTAAATTAAAAAATTATCTTTATATTTATATTTTTTAATTTATTTAGACAAATTAAAATCACCAATAGCTTTTATTAAATTTAAAAATAATGACATGATATTTACTTTAAAAATAACTAAAAAATGGTTTGAACCGAGAGAGTATCATCTTCATTAAATCTGCTCGTTGATGAAAAAATAGGAAAAAAGATCTGTTTGTTTTTACAACAGACTTAACCTCTGCATAGACGGTGTTACAAGGTCCGTTAATAAAGGGACAATAATTGACTCTTTATTCAAAGTTTTGAGGATCTTGATGATTCTTTTTGTAATAAAAGGATGACAGTGAGCCTTTAATTATACCAAGTTGAAATTTTCTAATTTGTGA